CGTGACAGATAATTTATGTTTTCTGTACTTCTCCTCTTGTCCTCCTCCTCCTCTTCTTCCTCCGCCTCCTCCTCATGATCATCATGATCATCATCGTCATCCCCCTTCTCCACCCTTCTACTTCTCCGGCTCGTCATCCTCCTCTTCCTCCTTCTCCCCTTCTGTCTTTTCCTCCGACTCCTTCTCCTTCTCCATTTTCCCTTTCTCAGCCTCCTCCATCTCCTTCTCCTCCTCGCTCCTTCTTCCCCCCCCGCGTCTTCCTCCATGAAACCGCGCCCTCGCGCGCGCGGGCGGCGAGATTGCCGCGCCCGCGTGCCGTTCATGTATGTCGCAAGGAAGCTCTACGAGTTCCCGGCGGCAGCCAAGGTTGACGGTTTACCGCCGGCTCCCAGTTCAGCGGTGTGCTTTCCAGTTTCCTAGCACGCCTATAACTCGAAACTGAGAAATCAAACCGTTCCTCGTAAAGATGAAGCAGTGCAAATATTTATTTAGTGCGATCGCAGACGTCTTGATACTTTAGGCTGGTACTTCTCAGTGTTCCCTGTCGATTCGTGTGCATCTCAGCTTCGTAGCTGGCCTAGATCTCGAATTCATTTTTTTTTTTTTTTTTTTTTTTTTTTTTTTTTTTTTTTTTTTTTTCTCTCTCTCCAATTGCAGCTGTGATTGCAGGCTATATCGATACGTCTCACTACCGTAGGCGAATGTGCCTGATGAGTTTCCCTTTTCGAAAAGTGCTTCTCAACTCAATGGCCAGCCTACATGCCGAATGAAGTGGAGAAACGTAATAATATCTCTTGTATATTAGCGCGGTGCGACTAGTTTTTGGGTCCTAGCTCTGACAGCTGACCAATCTCGGGCATATAGATGCTGAAGACTTGCGCTCCTCGTGATTTCCTTGCGATTGCTGTGCCGAACAGCTCTGTAGCTCATCTAGAGCTCCAGTTGTGTTGAGAAAACCGACGGCACCTGAGGGGGACACACAAAACAGCCGATCCCGCCAGAGTGCTTCTTGGTAACGTCCACCGGATCGATCTGAGATCAAGATGGCGAGCGGGAGCAGGGGAAAGGAAGAGCTCTAACATATGGTCCAATTTGGAGAAAATGATTTTACGTAGGCTTAGGGAAGCTTCACGAGTCAAGAAAAAACATCGATATATATATATTATATATATATATATATATATAATATATATATATATATATATATATATATATATATATATATATATATATATATATATATTCCAGCTAAATAGCCCGCCAGCGCGCTGGAACCGGAGGCCGGCGATAAACCCTCAACCTCGGTTACCGTCGGAAACTCGTGGACCTTCCTCGCGATATACGTGGATGGCGCGCGGGCGCGGCAGTCGTCGTTGTGCGCCAGGGTGCGCGGGTAACGTGGCTTTTCTGTGGGCAGGCGCGTGTCGGGAAGCCTCGGAGGGGAGGAGAAGGAGGAGGAGGAGGAACAGGAGGAGGAGGGGAAACAGGAGGAGGAAGAGGCGGAGGAGGAAACGGAGGACAAGGAGGTGAGGGGAAGGAACGGGAGCGGGGGCAGGGGCAGGATCAGAAGCGCGACCAGTAGCAGGAGCAGGAACCGGGGCGCGAGAAGGAGCAGAAGCAGGCGCAGGAGCAGGCAAGAGCAAGAGCAGGAGCAGGAGCAGGAGCAGGAGCAGGAACAGGAGCAGCATCAGCAGCAGGAGGAGGAGGAGCAGGAGGAGAAGGAGGAGGATCAGGAAGAGGAGAAGAAAGAGGAGGGAGGGGGATGCGGTGAGAAGAAGGAGGAGGGACAAAAAAGAAAGAACGTGGTGCTGGATTAGAACGGAGGAGAAGGAAACATATACTGAACATGGAGAAGGATGAAGAGAAGGCGGAAAAGGAGCACAAGGAGGAGGAGGAGAAGGAGGAGGAGGAGATGAAGGAGCGGGTATAAGGAGGGCGAGGGGGAGACAGAGGAGGTGAGAAGGATAACGGGAAGAAGGAAGGGGAAGAGGAGGATAATTATGGGGGGAGGAGGAGGCGGGGAATGACGAGGAGGTGGGGGAGGAGGATGAGGAGGAGGGGGAGGAGGAGGAAGGAGGAGAGAAGGAGGAAGAGGAGCACGAGGACGAAATAGGAGTGTGTGGTTTTCATGACATGTGCTTCACAGCTCCTTGCTTGTGGACAGAAAACCAACGCCGCCTTTTTTGAACTTGAAGAGCGCGAATGGTTTTTTTCTGCAGTTCTCGCAGCAGAGCGATCGCAGCCACCTGAATGCTTTCAACCAGCGCTTCTCAGCATTGCATGTCGATGGGTGTAGGTCTGAGCTCCCTCTCTCTCTCTCTCTCTTTTTTTTTGGTTGTTTTCTCCCTCTCTCTCTATATATATGTGTGTACGGGGGATTCTGGGAGATGTGAGAGTTCGTTTTGGGAACCTGTTGTGACGCCTCTGATGGGTTCTGCCGCGTCTGATTGTAGAACTCTCAGCTCCATAGCTGCAGCGTTGATTTCAAATCACTTGGCGGGGCCGTCGGGTCGGAATGCATTGTTCAAGATGAACATGGTTTCGTGAACTTAACTCAAGCAGGAAGCCATATGTACAAGTTCTGATTCGCACTGTTGTATTTATCAGGTTATGCCGCGTCTGCCTGTCACATTGACAGGTATCTGCATTATTTTCATTAAACTGCTTGGAGAAACCGTCGCCGTCGGGATGCATTGATTAAGATGAAAATAGCGTGGACTTCACTCAAGCAGGAAGCAAGCTATACAGCTCTCATTCGCACCGCCAGGTTAAACGTGTTAAACGCCGCAATCTGCATGGCAGGAGCTTGTGATTGAGGTTTATCAGAAGATGTTGCAGAACACTGTCGTACATGCTGGAATGAGATCGGATATGGGGGTTCCCATGGTCAAATTTCGGGATAGTGATTGTAGATATGCAAAAAAATACAACACTTCTGTCGAAGATGTCCGAGCCAACTAGCCCGCCAGCGCGCCGGAATTACTGTTGCTTCGCCGCTTCGTTTTTAGGGGAGCTCCACGAGTTATACTTGCAGGCATAATAGTTTTTCAGTTGCAGCTCTGGTTGCAGGCCGAATTGAGACATCTCGATACTGTAGACAATGCACCTGAAGAACATCGGTTTTTTAAATGTGCTTCTACTCATAGCCGCCTACTGGTCGACTTGCTCCCACTCGCCATCTTGATCTCAGATCGATCGGGTGGATTTTACCTTCATAAGGCATTCTGGCGGGCGTTCAGTGTCATCTTGACGGGTCGGGTCTCTTAACATACTTCGAGCTTTAGATGGGCTACGGAGCTGTTCGGCACAGCAAACGGAACAACTACTAGAAGCACTGATCTAGATAATGAAGATGCCTCATGTTGGCCTGATAGCAGCGCTGGGACCAACAAACTGTTTGTACTCTGCATATGTTTCGACATAGTTCGAGCTGAAGGCAAGTTATGGGGCTGAGAAGCCCACGTCGAGCAGGGCACTTTCAGGAACATTCTTCTACGGTTCGGAGTTGCCTGGGATCGGTCTCCTACCAGAGCGCGTCTGCGCAGTAGATTTTTTCTTTTTGTTTAAGCCGAGCTGTTGGCTAGCTATCGAGCTCAGATGCGCACCTCTCGGCTGCAAATGCTGAGTGGCGCCAGTCTGAGTACCTCGTAGAGCTCTTCGGCATCGATTAGCTACAAGACTTCCGGCGCGGGGTGGAGCTAATTGGCCCGCCCGGCCCAGGCGGACGATGTGATGACCTGGGGTCGTTTTTGTTGGAGACTCTGAGAGATTTGACCATTCGGTCTGAGAGCTGGTGAAATCGGTCTGCTGCCAGAGCTGCGACCAATGAATTATTTCTGCTGTGCACGCAGCTACCAAGCTCGCATGCTCTACACGTGATGCCCATCAGCCTGTTGCTGTTCTGTTCTGTCAGAGAAGTTGTGCTTCCCCAGTTTGTGTCGGAATGGCTGTGCTTCCTCAGCAGTACACGCTGGTGGGCTCCCCATTGCGGCGTGCCATTGATCCTGCTGCCGTTCCGCCGGTGGCGCGGTGGCTGGGCGAGGTCGGAGGAAAGCAAGGCCTGGCGGTGGCCTTGGTGTCGGACGTCGATGCGTTGGGCGGCGCGCCCCCCTCCCTACCCGGGAGTGGATTGTTTGTCCGAAGGGCTGAGGCGACCCGTCCTTCTCCTCCCCCTCCTCCTCCTTCTCCTCCCCCTTCTCCTCCTCCTCCTCCTCCTCCTCCTCCTCCTCCTCCTCCTCCTCGTCCTCCTTGTCCTCCTCCTCCTCCTCCTCCTCCTCCTACTCCTCTTCCCTCCTCCTCCTCCTCCTCGTCCTCCGCATCCTCCTTCCTC